AGGGTCTCACTATGTCATCCTCAGTAGAGTACTGTGGCATCACAGCTCACAGCAACCTCCAACTCTTTGGCTGAAGTGATTCTCTTGCCTCAGCCTCCCAGGTAGCTGGGACTACAGGCGCCTGCCACAATGCCCGGCTACTTTTTGTTGTTGTAGTTGTCATTGTTGCTTTAGCTGGCCCAGGCTAGCTTCGAACCTTCCAGCCTCAGTGTATGCGGCTGGTGCCTTGCCCACTGAGCTACGGGCACTGCTAAAGTTAACCATTTTAAAGTAAACAATTCAACAGCATTTAGCCCATTTACAGTGTTGTGCAACCATCATTTCTGTCTGATTCTCAAACATTGTCATTACCCCAAAAGGAAATCCCATCCCCAGTACCAGTCAGTCCCTACTGCCCCTCCTCTAGCCCTTCGCAGCTACTAATCTGCTTCCTGTCTCTGTGTATTTGCCTATTAGGGACATTTCATATCAGTGGAGTCACACACTATATGGCCTATTGTGTCTGGCTTCTCTCACTCAGCCACCACATCTTCAGTGTTCATCCCCATTGCAGCAGGGGCCAGTGCTTCATTCCTTTTCATGGCTTCATGATAGTATCATGGTATCAGTCCAGATCACAGCAACTTCAAATTCCTAGGCTCAAGAGACCCTCCTGCCTCAGCCTCTTGAGTAGCTGGGACTACAGGCATCCGCCACAATACCTGAATAATTTTTCTATTTTTAGTAGAGACAGGCTCTCATTCTTGCTCAGGCTGGTCTTGAACTCCTGAGCCTCAGCCTCCCAGAGTCCTAGGATTATAGGCATGAGCTGCTGCTCTAGGCCACTATATCATTCTTTACCATTCATTCACTGATGGACATTTGGGTTGTTTCTGCCTTTTAGCTGTCATGCTGCTGTGGATACAGGTGTACAAGGATCTGTTTGAATCCCTCTTTTCTGTTCTCTTAGGTGTATACCTGGAGTGGACATGATGGGTTGCCCATGATGGTTTGTGTGTTCACGGCCATCAGGGCTGCATGGGGCTAGTGGGCAGATAGGCGCAGGTGCCTGGGAGCGTTGGGGCAGTGTGGGTGGGAGACAGTGGTGCCTGGACCTGCACAGGGGCAGCTGGGAGTGGGGAGAGTGAACGGAGATATGGACAGAAGAGGGGCCTCTTGGATGGGGTCTGAGTTGATCTTGGCACCAGAAGAACAGGCAGAGATGAAGGCTTATTGCTGAGGCGAGGTCAGGAGGGGCAGCATCCTCCATTGGGCTGGGGATTTGCAGGGCCGGGGGCCCAGGACACCAGCAAGACAGGGATGAACCTGGGAAGAGGAGCCAGGGCAGAGAACTCCTGCCAGTGATGCATGAATAAAGAGAACTAGGAGTTATTTAATAAGAATGTGTCCCTATTGGCTCATAATTGCAACAAAGGTGCACGCTGATGCAAGGTGTCACAGGGGAGTCTGTGGGTGTGCTGGGGAGGGAGGATGTAGGAACTCTCTGTCCTATCTGATTTTTCTAGAAATCTGAAACTGTTCTAAAAAAAACACCCATTAGGCTCGGCGCCTATAGCTCAACCGGCTAAGGCGCCAGCCACGTACACCTAAGGTGGCGGGTTCGAATCCCCA